TTCCCCTTCCTTCTCCCTTCCCCAAAAAAAGAGAAATTGTTCTTCCACGGAGATTGGCTAAGTTAACCTTTAGCCCATGTTATGGCTCAAGGAAATGAGCAGCCACTTAAAAGGAACATCTAAGCCTCAGTTTGATACCTCATATTGATGTATCTTTTGCACTCACCCTCACTGAAAAGCAGTGCAAGGCACACAATTACTGCTGACGCAGATGAGACTGCTGCTGCTTGGGGAAGGAGGGGAGGAGCTTCTCAACCCATCAAAACAACCTCCCACCACCTGCTCCCATTGCACGAGAACAAAACTACGCCGCTCGGACAGACTAAGCGTGACATTTACGCCGTTTCACTTATATTGATATGCACACTCTGGAAAGGAGCATTCTGTTCGAAAGGCATTCAGGGTGAAACCACACAGTTTAATGCTCATCCAGGATTTGTGTAATGGTTTGGAAGAAAACATTTCCTTTCTTCTGAACTGGATCAATCTGTGTTATAGCTCCTCCTTGCAGAGTGTGTGCAGTTTTGCTTTCTCTCCCCCAAACCTGCAGCGTGGACACAAAGCAAAAGCATTCACTCCCTGCGCCAAAGCCCTGGCTGAATGCGCACAGATTGTGTTACCCCATTGTTAAATGCCATTTGATTCTTTCTCCTTCCTTAAGTTACAGGCATATTTTTCTCCAGCATAAATCCTGATTCTGATGTTACAGTAACAGTTGATTTTATTTCTAAAACTAATAACAGGAATTAGAGCGACAGAATGAAATCCTTTCAAAAGTAATGCCTGTTCACATGAAAAGCTGTGCTGGTACAACATAAGATCCTGCCTACAGAGCACGGGAGAACTTCCTGCAGGTTTATTTCCCCCCAGCTGGAATATCAATATTACCTCACATTCAACAGCCTTCAAGATAGCCACCAAGACACATTGGAAAACATGGTGACCTCCTTCATGCATTGAAATGCATAGCCTGAAAAAAGCCTGATTCTAAACCTGTCTCTCATATTCATTAGTAATTAATTCCCTGCTCACTGCAGTAGTTGCATGTCCCAGCACAGCTCTTGCAACCCCGTGCAACAGGACAGTGAAACTTCCACTTAACATCTCCAAGAGACCATTTTAAAAGGGTTACCCTTAGGAAGGGTTACAAAGTCAGAAGAATAGGGTTTGAAGATTTGGAGGGTTTTCCTTTGTGTCAGGGAAAAAGATCTGGAAGGGAAGCACCTAGAGTGTAGAACTGGAGGCAATTCTGGGAAGGGAGTTCTTGCCCTAGCCCAGAGGCAAGCCTGCAGCTCTGCTTCTGATTTTTTTCCTTCCTTGAAGGATACCTTAAAAGCAGCTGTGGCCATGTGGTAACTGGGAAATTCTTTGATTTTCATCACCTTGAGATTCCTGTCACATGATGTCCTCTTTTTCCCAATACCTCTCCAGGACCCTAAATCTGCCCCAAATCATGCACTGAAAACAGAGAAACTGCACAGTCAAGTGTCTTTCCAAGTTACTTTTAAAAAAATATTACTGTAAAGTCATTGCAACTTCATAAGCAACTTGAAGAACTACTAATTTTAATCTGAAAGTGTGAAACTCTTGGCTATGTCTTCACCACATGGTTTCTCCCAGGAACTGAATTTACTCAGATGCAATCATCTTTCAGACTACGCATGTTATTACACCTTAGGGAGTGTCCACATTTATTGTTCTTGCACCAGGGTTACTGGGGACCATATCTTCTTCAGCTGTGGGAGGAAATGTCCCTTTTTCTTTCCAATAGCACTATGGAAAGGGCACTGGGATTATATCATGACCTCTGCAAGGCTGGCAGTTCCATTCCTGTTTATCACACACAAAAGCCTCTCATTTGCTTCCACAACCAGGTAACATCAACCCAGGAAAAAAGCACCTACAGAATCGATCATGGCACTTCCTGAGTGAACAACAGAAGGGCTGGACCAAAATTCAGGTACCATGTTTAATGTTGTTCATTTTTATTCCCAAGTTTCTTACAGAACAGTGCTAGGATCACCTTGAAACGTGTTTAATAACAAACCTAATGGAGCCATGACTGGCTTTCTCTCCTAGGTTATGAAAGAATCATAATCAATACAAATATATGCACCTGCACAAATTACTGCCTGTGTTCTCATGTTGCAGAGGACTACACCTGGCTTCCTGGCCTCCAAACAGCTACCAGTGGAGGACCATTAGTTCCTCACAGCAGCTGTCAGCTCCCTCTCCCCACCCCTCCTGGAACCTACAACCACACTTAACTCCAGCAGATGTAGGTTACTTGCTCTCGCTTTGAATTTCTGAAAAACCTGTGCAACGCTTCATAACACAGCATACAGATTAACCTGCTTTATTTATGTATGTGTGGATACATGCTCACATAATACAACAAATATGAATACAGAGATATCACTTGACCTGTGGCTGGCGTTTGCACACCAGGAAAAGATGAGCAATGTGGAACTGCACACTGGCAGCTACTCAGTCTTAGAGGAGTTGTGGGATGCTCCAGCCTCTGCCTGGCTGTGAGTGGGCTGGAGCACACAGCATGTAACAGGGGGAGGGCAGGCTGCTGCAGGAGGCTCCTTTGTCCAGGGGATGAGGAGCCCTTTCAGGATTTGCAAGGCCTCAAGACTGCAGGCAGTGGAGAGACAAAGGGCTTTCACAAGAGGAAGAGAATATTCGTTTAAGATGCTAACAGACCACTTATTGACTGAGAACTACAGTCTGCCTGTCCCTGAAGGGAATCTTGAGGATAAATGGATTGGAGTTCAGTGCCAGTGACTCACTCTCTGCTTGGTTTGTGAATGGAGAAGGAAGGCTCAACAAGAAAAGGAAGCCCCAAATTTCCAGGCCTGAACCTGCTAACACCTGACTTGATGCAGGGACTGTTAGGTAATTATTTATGTTTATTAGGCTCAAAAGGGACAGGTTTCTTCTCTTTGAATGCACCACTCCCCACATCATCTGAAGCTTCTGTAGAAAAGGCAGTTCCATGATAGATTTTTATATCTGACCAGCAGGTCACAGATGAAGAGCTCTAAGAATAGAGATTCCACAGGGGCTAAAAAAAAAAAATCTGAAATAAAAAACAGAAACTGAGAACTTAAACCTGGAAATTCCTGACACCTAAGCAAGGGGAGAAGGATATGAACTTACATTCCTGCACTCAAACTCAGCATCCCAGTGAATTGGAATAGGGAGACTACTGAACAAGAGCCATCCATGCAGCAGCCCAAATGAGACAGGGTTCCTATCAGTCAGGTTTTGCCAAGACCAAAGTCTCACCAAGCCAGAATCATCACTGTGGAAGCTAAGGGTGGGCAGTTTACCCAGACTTAAAAATGCAAGACCATCAAGATGCTGACTTTGGCTGATTAACAAGTTGCTTGGCTAAGCTAACTTAAACTTGGTTTGATTATTTCTCCTTTACCCTGCCTCCTTGGCTTCAATTGTGTTTTTTTCCTGTTTCCCACGTGCTTAATCCTGACTCTGAATTTTTATTGCTGCCAGTCTGCAATTGCTCCCACCACGTCATGCCCATTGCAGTATGGATTCATTGCCTGACCCCTGGCCACATCCCTTAGCCTAGACCTTCTTATTCTTGACCTTCCCAGAAGCTGCATTTAGCTTTTCTTGATTCCAACACCTAGCATCTGGTTCTAATCATCCCAACCACTAGGACCTATTCAAGTGTCTTAATTTCACAATAAAACAACAGTTTCCCCACAGAGACTGTCATCATCTCATGTGTGAGGCAAGTGAAATTTTCAATGATGGTCTTACCTATGCATCATTCTAAGCCTCTGTTTAGTAATCACTGTGATGTGCCTTCAGCACCAAATGAAAAAAAATCTGAGGAAAAAAAAATCTCCTTAGATTTTTATTTGGATTTAAATCCGAGTTAATAAATATTTTTAAATAGAAGTGGATTAATTTGAGGAAAGTGCATAGGAAACAAACTACATCCAAACCCAAACACAGTGCTCACCATAACCTTGACCTTAAGAAACTGTCTCAGATTTTGTTTGCTCCTGCTCTTAGTGCCCACCTACCATCATGCTAAGCCAAGTGAAAACATGAGGAACTATTTGCAATTAATTTTCAACATGACATAGGGAAATAAGTTTAGCTTTCAAGGCTGCCTTTCCCAAATAATTTCATTCCATGGCACAGATAAGCTTTAAAATTTGCACCTTTACCCCCCCAAAGCATTCTTAAAACCCTGAAAGTTCTGCAGCTGCTCCCTCTCCCATCCACATTTGACTCCTTTTGCCCCTCTCTCCCTCCTCTCACACACACTGTTGCCATAACGAGTAAAGCTACCCACACAATGAGAGTAAAGGAAGCTCTCATTACTCCATTTCAGCATTTGTTTCTGCTTTTTCACATCCCTCTGTAGAATTCTTTCCCCTCCCTGCAGCACACTGGCTCTATCCCTCCCAGCAACAGACTATCCACAACCATCATGCACATTTCTCTCTTCAGAGTTCTGAGGAGGATTCTTCTAAAGGTAAAACAGTAGAGGGGTCCCTACTCATGTAAAAAGCCAATTAAAGTTAAATGCTTAACTGCCATCTGTGCCTTTAAGAAAAACCTCTTAATTTTCCCCAGTGATCAATTTTTTTCACGTGGGGCCAATTTTGCTGTTATTGCTTAGGCAAAATTCCCATTGAAGTCCACGGGGAACTTTGCCTGAATACAAAATATGGAGCAAAACCCTACACTTATTTGCACAGATCACAAATCACAAAGATCACGTCCTGATGCAAGTGATTTATCCTGCATGACAGCTAGTGCAACTGGGCTATTTTAAAACGTGATTTGTTGTAAAATATTTCATGATATTTACCATTCAAAAAAAAAAAAAAAGAGTCAATTGATTCTTTTTTCTTAAACTGGATTAGATTGAAAGATTCTGGCTGCTTTCCAAACCCATTAATTACTAAATGGTACATTTTCCACAGAAATGTTAAGCTATAAGTAGTTCTTCTGGAGCCAGTTAGCTCCTAGCTAAAATCAATTAAAGCTGGTAAAGATACGTTTCCATGGTCAGGTCCCAAATACAGACATCTGTATTTATAGCACAGTGGATGCTGGTAAAATCCCCCAACATAGATGGAGTTGTATTAACAAAACTGTGCTTTCACTGTTCATCTCATACAGGGGATAGTAGGTGGGT